CGATTTTCTTAGCTTTTTATTATGAATGAATGAAATAAATGATAGTATTTAAGAAGTATTACTATTAATTATCTTCTCGCACTCCCATCTTTCAGAGAGAAAGCGATTCCGATCTTTTCTTTTCCGACTTAGTCGGATTTTTTGTTTGTTTATAATTCTCTTGTTTTTCCGATTTAAACTGAGAATTTTCTGATTTTGACTAATCTTAAATCAGATTTGATATCAGATTGATTTTCAATCTGTTTCGGATTTTAATTTTCCTTCTTAGATTAGCTAAGCTTGGATATTTTTTGTTTACCCACCTTGCCATCGATTTACAGGGTTTGAAGATTAAATCTCGTTTACCATCAACTTAACTTTTCTCCTATGTTAGAGTAATATCCTCGATGTCTATGTTATGAAGTAGATCTTATATTAGGTCTTTGGCGTGGCTTCCTTCTAGGAATATGGTTGAGATGATTTAGATCTGACTTTATTAAGATAGATTAGGGCAAGAAGTAATCAGATCTATTGCGGCTGAATATGTAAAAGGATGTTTCAGAAGAAGTTATTGAAGCCTTCATATGATGTTTTAGGATTGTCATCGGCTTAGTCAAGATGGCAAACTCAAGATCGGCGATGAGCAACTGATGGTGTTTCGGTAGTTTTCTCCTCTATAACATGAACCCTAGATAGAATCAATCACGTGTATGTTTTACATATTACTAGATTTTAACCTGCGGTACACCGCTGGATGATTTAATTTTAAAGTTAGTATAAAAATATTTTGTAAATTGTATCTCCTTATAACATATTTATTTATATTATAGTTTACAATTGTTATTAAGTAACGGTATACCACGAGTCCACGAGATAATTATTAATAAACTGAGGATTTAACCCGTATTAAAGCGGTATATAAATATTGATTCAAATTCGTCCGCCATATAAATCATTTCCAAAATATAACCCGTTCCGTAATTTCTTAACCCGTCCTGTGATTTGTATTAAAAAAAACAAGGATTAAATCCGTATTGAAGCGGCGGATTAATGATATTTTAATCTTTTTATTATTGTTGATTCAAAAACCCGTCCCGCCAAAAAACTCATTTATTTTATTAATGTTCTTATTTATGATATGATTCTGAATCATTGTCTAAATATTTTAATCGATGTAGAACGTTGAATACACATTTTCGTCAATTGGATAATATATGTCTGTTTTTAAAATTTCGAATCACAGTATATGCAGAAAAAAAATTGATTTTTTTTTTACTTTATGTATTATATGATGATTCAAAACAGTTAAAAACAAATCAAACAAAGATGATAGGAGAATCATAATTATAAATCTTAATCAAATCTTCTAAAAATCTAAATTATTAAATATGGAATATCCGATGTATGAGTTGGGTTAAATATAACTCGATCCAACAAATTTTTTGTGAATAAATTTTTAAAATGGATCGGATATCCGATATACCCGAAAATTTTTTTACTCACTCGTCACAAAAAGTGTTGCGATTATACTAGTATAGATTTTCTTAGATAATTGGGTTCATTTAGTATTTGGGTTTAAAAAATACGTTTATATCATTCTCCATGTAAGTTGCCCTTTTGAACTTTTTTTTTTCTTTTGGTAGGCGCACTTTTTTAATAAATGTTTTGACGACAAAAAAAAAAAAGGAAGTACTATTAATTATTCGATGTTCATGACTTCAGTCTAATGAACATATAATATCACACTCCACTATATAATACTATGAATGTAAGAAATTGCCAGTTAAATATTGCCAGAAACTACTTTTAACATGAACATTTTTTTTTGAACAGAATGTTTTTATATCAAGTGTTACTTCTATTTGAATGTTTGAAAGAACGTGAACATTGTTATCTTATTATCATTGTTTGACTTTTTTTTTTACAAATTTTTAGAAGTCATCATCAAGATCAATGGGTGAATGTAGGTAAGTCGTTCTTGTTCATGTCGTGATTAAGAATTTCACCTGAGAATTTATTCTGACAGTTCGTATGATGTTTTCTATAGTTTTCGTCTATTTAACTATTATATATGTGACATCCATTTTTTTCTGCTAGTATGAATATGTTTGACATTTCTCAACATTTGTTACTGGTTTTGGACATTGCTAGTTTTAATTTAGGAATCTGAGGACTTTTGTTTTAAACGGAAACATAACTGATTTTCTGGTTGTAAAAAAGAATTTACCATTATATAAAAATGATTCTGCACAGGATCGAACTGGAGACCTTTTGCGTGTAAGGCAAACGTGATAACCACTACACCACAGAATCTTTATATTATTAGTAACTTAAGTATAATTTATCTCAATGTATTAACGAAATCGCAATTAAATTAACTTATTAATAATTCCTGATATTTTATATTATTTGGTCAATTCTATAACTTGTTTCGGAACAATCTTGTTGGATACTTTGTCTAGTGTTTTATAATTAAATGAATTGATTTTCTTCTACACGAGTATAGTTGAACCGAATTAAATCATTACGAGAGGGATTGAAAAAGTAGCAGTTACGGTTGACGAGGAAAACATTGACGAGCTAACGTTACTCAACGAGGAAAAGGGACAAATTGAAAGCTTTAGCAAAAAAAAATATAGAGAATCGAATGCAACATTTAGAACTTGAGTTACGGTTGATGAACCAATATCTACGTCATAATTTCCATCGCAACCAAATGGACATAAAATTTATTTAGCCTCTCTCTTAGACTTAAACTTGTTCTGATGTTATGTGTGTTTAAACTTTATGTAGTGTGATTAATTTTATGTGCTTGAACTTTGATGTTGTGTGATATATGTTTGAAACCTTTATGTTGTGTAAATGTGTAATGAAGCTATTGTATTCTCGTACTTCGATTATAATAGAAGAAGAAGATAAATAGAGAAGCCAAACCAATTTTAAATTAGAGGAACTTCTAATTACAAACGATAGCACGAATTGTAAGCTTACTCCCATAATATTTGGCTGTTTTAGGATATATTAAAAAGATTAAGTTTGTCTAACCATATAAAATACTAAAAAATATAATGTGTCAACATTCTAAAGCCACCTACACTAAACCGTTGAAGAGATTACATAAATATCAAAAGAATTAAAGAGCAGATCAAAAGTATCACAAAAAAAAAAAACAAATTTAATTAGATAAAAATGCAAACGCCAATATCCAACCCCACAACCCTACGTAATATGGTTCATACATATTTGGAACGGTCCATACATACTTTAGAAGATGGGCCACATGGAATCAGCCCACCTACTTTTCCTACTAACGAACAACACGGAATCTTCTCACTCTCAAAACCTACAATATCAAATCACAAAATTCATACGTCAAAATCTGAAATAAGTATCACAACATTATTAATAGATCAAATGCTAGCGATCACGTACCGTAAGATTGAATAATTTTGTAGAATATCATAAACAATGCGAAAAACATCAGCGTAGACGAATCTTGAACCTTGTAGATTCTTGTTTAAATCCTCTAATAGGGTTTTAAGCTTGATATTATACATTTGTGCCACTTCATTTGGTTCAACCGAACATTCATCTCCAGCCGTTGGATCAGACTCTCTCTCGAATGGTATACAACCAATGGGCCCAATATTAATCACCACGATTTTCCTCGCACCCAATTGGTACAATCTCTGCCAAAACCATATAAATTATATTGATCAAACCGGTTTGGTTTGGATTCTGTTTAGTTGAAATTAGAGAAGAGAATTATTACGGTGAGTTGTAATCGGAATTTTGAGATCATTGTATCTACAAAGACTTCTGGAGATACTTTCCGTTCAAGGGTTGATACGACCGGAGTGAAATAATTGTTGATTAAATCATTAGAACCGGTTGTAACCGAGAAAATTGCCGACCGGAATAATTTAGCCGCTTGGGAATCACCAATCCAAGAAATGATGTCTTGTCTTGTCGTTGCAAAGTTGTCTAGTTGTGCATCCACATTTATACGTTCGCCCTATATTTAAATTTTTGTAACAATGAATAAAAAGGTTGTGAAGAATAAGAGAACTATAATAAAAATATGCTTACAAATAATTTGCCGGTGGAATTGAGGATTCCACTTCCGCCGGAAGCATAATTAACGCCGTCGAGAATGAGAGATCCGCTTGTTGTTGGTGCTAAGTACGGTGGAGTTAATTCGTCGGAACCTAATGCTTGATCTGCGGTTTTCAAAATTTCCGGTTATCGAGCCGTATAAGAAATTTTGATGTTAGCCAAAATATCAACTAGAAAAACGGGACTCTTTCTTGTGAAGAACCAAATTAAAGACGAATAATTATGTTCTAAGAAAAGAACATTAAAGACGAGAGAGATTCGTATGAGAATAAAACATAGAGGAAAGTTAAAGAAGGAACGGTTTATATAAAGAGTTTTTGTTTTGTTGTTCCACAAATGGAGTCCTTCATTGAGAATGGCACAGAACCACTCTTAGTTTGATTCGGAACTCTTGAAATTTACAGACATTGGAAATGACCAATACCGAATTGTATAGTGTTTATATAGATCCACTGTTTTTAAGAAATATTCAGAGTCTGAACAGTGCCGGTCCGAGCATTTGTGAGGCCCTATACGAAAAATAAAATGTGGCCCAATATATTTATAAGTTTTAGGGCTAAATTTTTTTTTTTTTTACCTATTTTTAGTAAATTATACAAAAATAATGATATTTTGAATATTATTACATTAAAATTTAATTGTTTGGGCCCTATTTTATTTATTTTTTTCGAAAAAGACTTTAGATTCTACCAAATATTTTCATTTTATGGCCTTTTTACCAAAAAAAAAGAAAAAAAAAAACCTTTTAAAAAAAAAAAAATTGTGGTGCCCCAAGCCACCGCTTGGGTGGCCTGTCCTGCGGGCCGGCCCTGAGTCTGAAAATGTTGGACGGTTTAGTATCAATGGCATATAGTCTATACAAAGCTACATGCATGAGCGTAAAACATCAAAACATTAAAATAATTTAATTGAATAATATTATTATCCAAAACCAGATTAATCTATAAAACTTTTGTATTTGTCATTTTGTATTAAGTGTGCAATTTTTTAATCAGAAAAACTCAGAATGAATAGAGAGAAATTTGAGTTCAAATTTGGTCACCTGAAATTCTTCTAACCAAGCCAACCGTATCCGGTTTATATGCCTAATCTTCATCATGTGACGGTGAAGAACGAATTCATTTGTGTTTGATATGATAAAAATAAATATCCTTGGACAGTGAAAATACCCAAATTTGTTGTCCATGAAATACAAACATAACATAAAACGAATCACTCAATACATGAGATTGTTATTTATACATTGACGTTTTATTAAATATAGACTGTTCTGTTGAAGGTGATTTTCTGGTCGTCGACCAAACTTCGGATACAAAAGTTCGACAACTTAACATGTTTGGAGATCTAAACAAGAGTTACAAATTCGACTTGAGACAACTTTACATGTTGTTTATATCATAATTGACCCTTTCGACCCAATTAACTCCCGCAGTAAGTTACCCGCATCGTTTTGAGCACTTCTAAGTATGGGGCAATCTGTGTGTTGACGACCAAGCATACCGGCCTGTTAGAACGGCCAACCAGAAAATACGTTTATCAGAATAATTATGGTAACACTAAAAGCTCAAGAACCCAAGATAGATTAAATCGACTGCGTGGTAAGAATTACTTCTGTACACAGTAAGTGAGCCCAATTCTGCCGGGTTACAAGAGGGATGGCATCAGCATCTTGGGCATGAAGTATCTCCATCAAGATTGTCACTTCCCTACGGAGGTCATTCACTTTATCTTGATGATGATTCGATTTCGACAAGAGCTTCTCCTTCACTTCGCATGCTGCTTTGTTCACTAACGACCAGAAATCATTCTTCCCCTGTCAACATATCGAATCAAAGAGACATCACAGTGATATCGCAACAAGTGTTTGACATCATTATATGATGGCAAATCTCTACTTACCTCAAGGGTAGTTTCTGATTCATCACGACCAGCAGATTTCATCTCATCTCCAAAAAACTGAGCAGAAGAAATGGACTTTGCGTTTGAGAACCTCTTTCTTGCTTCATCTGATTCTTCAACCTAGTAATCAAATTAGTCCCATTCTTCAACCTAGTAATCAAAATAGTTAAAAGATGAAAGTAATTAGCTAGATGATCAATGCTGTCACTAAAACACACGTACGGGCTTACTTTAACTATCGACGAGCTGTCCATTCCGGAATCTGCTAAGAAACATGATGATTACTTTGGTGGAGCAACATGGCCAAGAAGTGGCATCAATAACTCTTCCTTGACAGAATAAGAAAAACCCACCCATTAGACGGTTCCAGTAGACCAGTAGTAGTATCTTCTGCAATAGCTTCTACAACAAGAATCTGCCTATACAAATCAGCAGCTCTTGAAGTGTACTTAGACTCAATATTGCCATCGTCCGTCCATCCATGTTGCTTGACGAACACCTGAGCGCGGTAGTTTCCACCAAATATCATTGCCCTAAGCTGCTAAAGGCTCCATGAATCTAAATTCGTTGATCTATTATACCAACTGGAAAAAGAAAAATGAGAACGTACATTAGCATTTTTTGCTATTAATCGATCAAATAAGACAGAGAACCACTTTGAAAATATTATCGAAGATTTTAATCAGTCTCCACTAGTGTAAGGAACTGACATTTAAATTTCAACCCACACTCGAGTCTACAGTTTAAGAACTAAAAACCTATCATGCCCCAATTAAACCCTAGCCAGAATCAAGAAATTGCTACAAGTTTACCTGAAGAAGCTGATATGAACACTGAGGCTTTGATGAATGGCTGAACAATCAATGCAGAGAAAAATGCCGTATGTAACCGATGCGTATGTCGGATTCTTCTCACTACAATCAAAGCATACCTAGAAATATCCAAAAAAAATCATCTCATGATCCCAATCGAATAAAAAAAAAACAAAGAAAAACCGAACATTGTTCTCAAATTTTGCTTTGAGTTTTCTAAAAACAATATTTTTGTCGGTAAGATCGATAAAAGAATTTACCTTTTAGAATTCATCCGTTTTTTTTTTTTCTTAAGGACATCAAACCAAGCATCGACCTTGGTACTGGCCACAACTATCTAATTAAGGTGTCCCGAGAAAATCTTCAATCCTTGTCCAGGCCGAATGTAGCCCAAGATCAACTCTTCCAGCTCGACGACCACTTGGAATACGTTCTTATCTCAACTACAAAAAATCTTGAAGTGAAATCGGCCCAATCAAAGTACAAACGAAGGAGTTATTCAATGATGATTCCCACTTGATGCAAGCCTCGGATTCCACCAACACAAGACTCGCAAATTCAAAGGCTAAAACTATGCGGAAGTGGTGATGATGATGAAGTAGCCGATTTGATGTTGAATCCACAACACCGAGTGCTAGAGAATATGATCCAAAGGCTATTCCTCGCGAGGATCAGAGACTCTACATGAAACTTAAGTGGTTTGATTCCACGAACTACCTAGAATTCGCAAGAACAATGATTTGATTCAAGACACAAGTGTTGCAGCAAACTGAAATTTCTTATTAATAAAAAGCTTGAATTGAAAGTAAAAAGTGTTAGAGCTTATATAGGCTTGAGATAGATGACCTCCAACGATGTAGAACAAACTAAGAAAGGGAAGAAATCATTCAACATAAAGGAGAATTAACGTTGTAGAGTTTCTAGTCGTTTGGCTTTAATGGAGGAGCATCAATGATAGTGGCTGAAGAGATATGCAGGTTTTTAGGGCTTAGAGGACGTGTAGGATCTCCTCGAACAGATAGAAGGTCGAGATTAACTAGAAGAGTCTCGATTGGTGTTGAAACTAGATGCATTACTACATTTATCCTTTGAAGCAAAATGAACCTTGAAACACTATAGTTAAAATGCTTTTCAAAAGAACATAAGAATGTTGGATATATTTAATTTCTATCATTGGTTAGATATATAAACCTAACCAAAAAATACTAAGAAATATAATGTCTCAACATTCGAAAGCCAGCTACACTAAACCTTTCAAGAGATTACACATATATCATAAGCATAAAAATGTATCATAAGACAAAAAAAAAAGAAGCAAACTTAACTAGATCAAAATGCAAATGCCAATAGCAGACCGGCCCAACCCTATATAGATGAGGTTTTCTTTATTACGGTTCATGCATTTATCTTGAGGTTAGCAAGTTGCCAGATATTGATTGGAAATATATCAGAGGTGTCGCCAGAGAGTAGACGCCGAGCAATGATGACGTTAGCAGCTTCGGTAGGATGGTAAGGATCCCAAAACACATATTTGGAACGATCCATACATACTTTTGAAGATGGACCACATGGAATAAGCCCACCTACTTTTCCAAGTAATGAACAACACGGAATCTTCTCACTTTCAAAACCTACAATATCAAATTACCAAATTCATAAGTTAAAATATAAAATAAGTAACATAGCATTATTAAGAGATCAAATGGTTGAGATTACGTACCGTAAGATGAATAATTTTGTAGGATATCATAAACAATGCGAAAAACATCAGCGTAGACGAATCTTGAACCTTGTAGATTCTTGTTTAAATCCTCTACTAGGGTTTTAAGCTTGATATTATACATTTGTGCCACTTCATTTGGTTCAACCGAACATTCATCTCCAGCCGTTGGATCAGTTTCTCTCTCGAACGGTATACAACCAATGGGACCAATATTAATCACCACGATTTTCCTCGCACCAAATTGGTACAATCTCTGCCAAAACCATATAAATTATTGATCAACCAGTTTGGTTTTAATTCGGTTTAGTTGAAATTAGAGAAGCGATTATTACGGTGAGTTGTAATCGGAATCTTGAGATCATTGTATCCACGAAGACTTCGGGAGATGTGACTTTCCGTTCAACGGTTGACACCACCGGGGTGAAATAATTGTTGATTAGATCGTTTGAACCGGTCGTAACCGAGAAAATTGCTGACCGGAATAATTTAGCCGCTTCGGATTCACCAATCCAAGAAATTATGTCTCGTCTTGTCGTTGCAAAGTTGTCTAGTTGTGCATCCACATTTATACGCTCTCCCTGTAATCAAATTTTTTGTAACATGTAATATATAAAAATAAATGTGTGAAGAATAAGAAATAGAATAAAAATATGCTTACAAATATTTTTCCCGTAGAATTGAGGATTCCACTTCCGCCAGAAGCATAATTAACGCCATTAAGAATGAGATATCCTCTTGTTGTTGGTGCTAAGTACGGTGGAGTTAATTCGTCGGAACCTAATGCTTGATCTGCAGTTTTCAAAATTTCCGGTTACCGATCGAGCCGTATAAGAAATAAACCAAAACTTGGCTTTAAAACGAACCGGTCCAAAATACAAGAACGTTGTTACATGTTGGAAAGTCAACGAGCAGTATAATGTTAACATTAAATACAATCTTTATTATTACGGCTTGAACATTGCATGGAAACTTGTGTGTATTAACTATTAACTTAATCTATTATTCGTATAAGATAATTATAGAATTATTACTTACATACGATATCGACGATTGTTCTTCCGTTGGTGAATCTCCCAGTAGGTGATCCAAAATCGATCCCATTAGGATCATAATTAGCCTTTGACAATGTGGCTAAGTAGTTGTTGTTTCCGGCATCCACCAATGAATCTCCGAACACAAAATTCGCCGGAATGTTTTTACCGGCATGACACACCTCGGAGAAGAACAAGACCGATAAAGCTATAACTTGGAAAAGAAAAACAAGCAACGACATTACTGGTATTTGATATTTTAGAAAAAATTTCAACTAGAAAAACGGGACTCTTTTTAGTGAAGAACCAGAGACGGGTAATGTTATTTTCTAAGAAAAGAACAGTGAAGATGAGAGAGATTCATATGAGAATAAAAGATAGAGGAAAGTTGAAGAAGGAACGGTTTATATAAAGAGTTTTTGTTTTGTTGTTCTACAAATGGAGTTCTTCATTGAGAATGGCACAGAACCACTGTTAGTTTAATTCAGAACTCTTAAATAAAAGACAGAGACATTGGAAATAATAACGAATTGTATAGTGTTCATATAGGATCCACTGTTTTTAATATTTATATATATACTATAAGAGAAGATCAGAGTCTGAACAAGTTGGCCGGTTTAGTATTAATGGCCTATATAGTCAATACAAAGCAACATGCATGAGCGTAACATTTAAATATATTATAATAATTTAATTCTGTAATACGTTGCTAGGTATTTTAAGAGATTTTTCCTCCATGTGTCTGTTTTTTAGTAGTCCATTCTTTTTTAATATTAAAATATTAACATTTAAATTATAAAAAATTCAAAAGCTTATTTCAAACGATGAAGCTGCTCTTGACTATTTATTGTACTACAGAGAGAGTCGAGAGAACGTGTCATTGAATAACAAAAGATGCTCTAGGTTCTATAGTACTTGTAGAGGCAAATTATAAGCCAATGACATGGTAGAACGATTGCCTTTCGTGCTCTTGAATTCTATCTTAAATATAGTATATTGTGTAACTGTAATCATGCTGTGATATTCGTGATTGAATTTTTTTTTCAGCAAATTAAAATAGCTAAATATTTGCAAAATATGATGTAACGTGTTAAGAATGGCCAATTTTAGACGACGTTTAGCGAACGAAATGAAAATTAAACATTTGGCGGAACGAATTGTATGCAAAAAAATAAATTATAAATGTTATATTTCAAATGGTAGTTAATAAAACATGGATTTTGAGAGGATTTTTCAGTTTTAGTAGTTTTTGCTCTGTCACACATTTGGCGGAACATCTATTTCTCCTTTTTTATTCCAACCAAAAGTTTTCGAGTGTTTTAACATTGAAGTTTGTAAAGAAAATTAAAATTTTTCTCCGTTAAATCAATTATATTGATATCAAAAAGTGTTTACAAAATACAGAAACATTCCAATACAACTGTTGTACGCAAATATAGGAAATTGAAACAATTTCGATAAAAGAGTGGAAGTACGTACCCAGCTAGCTTTTGGTAGACTTATAGGCAACAGATGTAATTTGTTAAGTCCCCCGGCCCTTCATATATTTTTTGTTGGCTATCAGCTTGCTTCTAAAACTCCAAAATGCCTTTGGCATTACTTTAATTAGGAAATGTTGATTTAGTGTTGTTGGAGATGATTCTAAATCTTGTCGCCTTCTTAAAATCGATATACTTGATGATTCCGGCAATGACTTTGTATGTTCCTTAGAAAGTCCACATTGTTTTCTCACGCATTGATGTTGCTATAATAAATCGATCCAATGCCACCATAAAGTATTTGGAAGTATTTTCAACATAGTAAAACCATGGTACATCAGCGAAAGTCTATAAGTCTCATTAGAGTAAATAATGTTAATGTATTTGATAATGAGACTAACTACGTTTGCTTGAACAAGAAGAATAAACCAATTGCATGAACCAGCGTGTGCATGTCTCGGTTTATACACCGAGAAGTGATCACCGTCAACACCATCTGTAAGCGTCAATTTCTTAACTTTGAAGATAAATAGCAAATCACCAAAACTCAAGATATGAACCGGCGGATCAGAGATTTCAAACCACGAGAAGGGCGAAGCATTATCATCACCGGAACGTTTCGGCTATATAATCAAACACAATATAAGAACAACTCTTTAAAGAATAACTCTCTTTATTAATCTCAAGAACTCAAACTCTCAAACTCTCAAACTCTCTTTCTCAAAAACCTTAAACACATAAAACTCTCTCTCAATCTCTTATGGTCTATCCCACTTTGGTAACTCATATTTATACATAAAAAACTCATAGACCTAATCCTACTTTGATTAGGAGTATATTTTAGATAACTCCTAAAATATACATAATTATCTTTTAACAAAAAACTTATTTCTCAAGTCTAAATTCAAGCTTATCCAACAATCTCCCCCTTAAGCTTGAAATCTTCTTATCACTCATCAATGTCAGACCCAACTTCAACATTGTGTGAATCCTAGCAGCAAACGTGTTTGGTTCATCAAGACTGAATCCAGAAGTCAACAAAGCTGTCACGAACAGCTTCATGACGAGATCTTTAACGGACTTGCCATTCTTGTCAACTTCAGCTCTCTTCCTAAGCTCCTCCATGATACCATTGTCGGGGTTGATCTCCATTGTTTTCTTGCTCGACATGTAACCACTCATGCTGCTATCTCTCAACGCCTCTGTCTTCATAATCCTCTCCATGTTCGCAGTCCATCCGTATTCACCAGTTACTAGACAGCAAGGAGAGTCCACAATCCTGTCTGAGACCACAACCTTCTCAACTTTGTCTCCAAGAATTTCCTTAATCGTCTTGCAGAGATTCTCGAAAGATTCTTCCTTCTCTTCCCTCTTTTTTTTCTCTTCTTCGGTCTCATCTTCAAGTTTCAGTCCTTCCTTTTCTTCTTCTCCTTCCTTCTCTTTGTCACTTCCAGCCTTGGCTTTTTTCTCTTTGTCAACCATCACTTCTCTGGTGGGCTCTGCTTTGTCTTTACCTTTCTCTTGAGAAGACTCAACGTGATCAACTTCAAACTTAGAATCCGCATAGAAAGTAGAACCACCACCAGGATTCTTAATCTCTCTCAAATGCTCCAAGTAATTATAACCGTCATCAAGATATCCTAACTCCAAAATCTCCTTCCTCATAGCCTTAATCCAAGACCTTCCTTGATAATCTTTCTCCTCTTTGCCATGGAATGTACTCTTATCTGCATAATGCTCCCCTTTGGCTTCACCTTGTTGTAAAGCAAGTACCAAAACCCTGTTCTTTTGAGATTTATGGTATTTTTCTAGTAAGGCAACAAGTCGCTGCTTCCGCGCACGTTCATCCAAGACCTCAATGATTTGCGTAACGTCGTGGTTGGCGGCTAAGTCTACGGAGCCTATGACTACCTTGATTGGGTTTGGATCCATGAATTCCTGCGCCAATTTGTGAACATCCAAAGGCCAAGTTGCACTGAACATAACCATCTCACGAACTTTATTTGTCTTGCTCAATATAAACCGAACAGGTTCTTCGAAACTCATATCAAGCATTTGATATGCTTCATCCAATACCACAAAGGAAACTTTCGAGGGACGAAGCTCATTAGACTCAATCAAGTCTCTCAAACGACCATGCATACCAATGACAATATCAACTCCAAATCGAATAGCACTTATTTGACGCCTTTTAGAGCTTCCACCATATACACATATTGATTTCACACCACAAGGTTCTCCAGCTTCACTCAAAACATCAGAAATCTGAACATCCAATTCTCGTGTAGGAGAAAGAACCAAACAAGTAGGATTAACATTCTTTGATCCTCCACCAATCTTCTTATTCTTCTTTAACACATGCATAATCGCAAGAATCCCAGAAGCCAATGTCTTACCTGACCCAGTTTTTGCAATCCCGATAAGATCACGACCATCTAACAAAACTGGCCACTTATGTGACTGAATCGGAGATGGCTTCTCTAAAACATTCTCCGGCAAATTCGATTCAGCAAAAGTCTTCAAAGTTGCGTACTTTGCTTCTTCCACATCTTTCCCAGTCATAACAACCTTCGGTTGCTCACTTTCTCCTCCATTGGTAACACTTAACTCCTCAGCTTCTAGCTTCTTCTCCGGGACATCCTTCTTCTTATTCTTCTCACTCAGTTTCTCCTCTCTCTTACTTTTATTCGTCTTCTTATTGGTCATCGGACTCTCAACGACTAAAGGTTTGCCGGAGATGGGAAGCTCTTGGAATTTTCTAGCCATCAGAATTCTCATGATAACCTTGTAGAGCCTATTTTTGGACCTTTTTGCTTTAACCAATAGCTTTCCGTCTCGGTCATACATAGTCAAGTAATCTTCTCGCATCCTCACATCGCAGCCCGACTCCGTAGCTTGGCCGAGACTCACAATATTGCTTCTCAAGTCCGGAATATAATATACATCGTGTAAAGCTCTCCTCTCTCCATTTTTTGCTACAAGCACAATTGAGCCTTTTCCTTTGATGTCAATTTGAGAATCATCACCAAACCTCACCTTTCCTGTGAATGATTCATCAAGCTTAGAGAAATAAGCTAAGATTCCCGTCATATGGTTGCTAGCTCCATTATCCAAATACCACACATTCTCAACACCTGAACTTGTTTCAAATTTATTTGGAACTACATTCCTTTCATTCAAGTATACAACTTCATGTACCATTAGTGCATCGGCCTCTTGTGTGTCATCATTCTTGGTTTCTTGCGTTTCTTGGAGTTTAAGCAACCTGTCAGGGCAGTCCGATGCGTAATGTCCCAATTTGTCACACCTATAGCAAGTTATCTTGCTCGCGTCTCTGTATCCTTCATTGTTCTGTTGGTAACCATTACCTTGCGAGTAACCAAAGCGACCTCTACCTCTTCCTCTTCGGCCACCTCTACCTCTATTTGCATACCAATTGTTTTGAAACGTTTGTGTTTCTGAATTAGCATACATGAGTTTTGATTGATCTTCTGGTACATTCTCTGCAACAACAATCCTTTCTTCGTACGTTTTAAGTCTTCCTATAATGTCTTCAAAAGTGGTGGTATTAAGGTTTAATACCTGTTCTAATGAAGCCACTATATGAATAAACTTAGGAGGCAGACTGTTAAGAAACTTCTTAACCATCTTAGATTCCTCAATCTCTACTCCAAGAGAAGCAGATTTTGAAGATATCTCTGCCATCTTTCCTGCGAACTCATCTATTTTCTCTGTATCAGTCATCTTGAGTTTCTCAAAGTTAGCCATAAGTGTTTGAAGACGTGCTTCTTTGACTCGTTCAGCTCCCACATGTCTCGACTTTATAGCATCCCAAACTTTCTTTGCAGAATCCAAATCTCCTATCTACAGAACAAGTGCCTCTGGTATTGACTGAAACAACAGCGCGATAGCCGTGTTGTTCTTCTTTTTGTCTACTACTTCTGCCTCTGTTTCAGGTTCAATAGCTTCCCATACCTCATGACATCTTAGTGCAGCTTTCATCCTCAGCGCCCATACGGTGTAGTTGGTGGTGTTCAGCATCGGACAAAGAATAGATGTAGACCCTCCTCCTTTCTTTGGATCTACGAGAACCAGTGCATCTTCCGCCATTGCTCCCAAGAAGATCGCAACGCTCTGATACCAATTATATAATCAAACACAATATAAGAACAACTCTTTAAAGAATAACTCTCTTTATTAATCTCAAGAACTCAAACTCTCAAACTCTCTTTCTCAAAAACCTTAAACACATAAAACTCTCTCTCAATCTCTTATGGTCTACCCCACTTTGGTAACTCATATTTATACATAAAAAACTCATAGACCTAATCCTACTTTGATTAGGAGTATATTTTAGATAACTCCTAAAATATACATAATTATCTTTTAACAAAAAACTTATTTCTCAAGTCTAAATTCAAGCTTATCCAACATCGGCACCGTAAGGAGAATGAGAATCAAGGTCTTAACCGTCGAGAATAAGAGGCGGTTGTTAGTAATAAACAGTGGCTAGGATTTAATCGCACCCTTTTCTGATCCGACATATGATGCTCCAGGATCCCAAATCTGAGATTGCATTTTGTCTATCGATTTGGGAAAATTGATGTCAAATTTAACTATCCTAGGGTAGTGGTGAAGAACAGTTTTAATCGTGAACCAAAGGAAGCCGTTTGGACAGATCCTCAGCGGAAAGGCGCCGGCACTGCTCCGATATCTTTGCCGGATCATGGTCGGAAAGGAACCCTCACAAAAGGAGAGAAAAGCGATGAGAGGTTGGATGACGAACAATCCCAATTGTCTTGGGATTCATTGCCGAGTGTATTCTAAAACTATGCGGCAATTAGAAGTAGAAGCAAAAGTGATAAGGGCCAACGCCGGAGAAGCCGACGCCGGCCGGGGAAAACAACGGTGCAGAAACAAAGGGTTATCTTGGATGAATAATCGGAGTCTCTCTAGAGAAAAAACACAGTTTATCTTTCTAAAAAATTAATAATGGTGTTTTTCTAGTGAAAATTATCTAGGATAACCTACTTTTCAAAAGAAATAGCTATGATAACCCACTTCATTTTTTTTCCCTACATAATTTTAATCATGCGTGGCTGGAAGAAAATATTAATCATGCGGAAATACGAAACAATCATTTCCAATGAAACCACCCCAGGGACAGAAACTCTCAATGGTCACCACCTCCGGACGGTTGGCTTAAGTGCAACTTTGATAGTGGTTTTCAGCAAGGACGATCTTTCACAAACACATGTTGGTTGATAAGGGATAGTAATTGGAAAGTTCTCCTCACGGGTTGCGCAAAACTATGTTCAGCTATGTCTCCGCTGCATGCCGAAGCTTTAGGTTTCCTCCATGTCCTTCAAATAGTATGGGCTCATGGTATGCGACAAGTTTGGTTTGAAGGCGATAATAAGGAACTGATCTCAATCATTAATAGTTGTGAAGATCATTCGTAGATAGGTTCTCTTCTTTACGATATTCGTCATTGGATGGCAAAGCTTCCTCTCTCATCGTTGGATCACGTCAATCGGGAAAAGAATAGTGCAGCTGATAAGATGGCTCATTAAGCTCTTTCTATTAGTTCATCTTTTAAAGTATACTCTGTTCCTCCTTCTACTCTGATTCCTTTCTTGTATCAACTCTATACCGTTTAATAAAGTTTAAGGTGTTAAAAAAAAAAAAAAAAAACTCTCTTTTTATGTCGAGTTTTGATAATTTCAAATCTACCCTTATAAGATACTTGCTTTGACGTTTATATAAATCATTACATTTAAATTAAAATCAATTCATAATATATACTTATTATTCCCTTATTTTCTAAATATATATAATATCTTGATAGGTTATTTAGGGGGGTGTATTGAAACTTGGATTTGTGAAGATTTTGGATTTTCATTAAAATCACCTGTTATTCAATTTATGATTTTAAAATCTCTTCTCAAATCCAATGTTATTGAAATTGAAATTTATGTAAAATCATTCCAAATAGTTTACAATCCCTTGTTATTCAATCAAGGATTTACAAACATCATATCAAATCCACTGTTATTCAAACAAAACATTTTTTAAAAAATAAAAATTAAAAACGGATTTTGAAAGACTTTGGATATTTTTTTAGTTGAAAATGATAATAAAACAATCACACTTCTAGAGGTGTGATTTGAGAGAATTTGTTTTTAATAAGAGTCAAAAAAAAAAAAAAAAAAAAAAAAAAAAAAAAAAAAAAACTGGCAAATGTTACTGGGGAATGTATTTGCACGAAACTACCAATACAAATTGATGAATCTGGGAAATTGAGCGATTGCAATTTCGAAGTGATAAACATTATGAATGGTTTATTTTTCAGAAACCCATTGTTAATATGCTCAAAATTAGGAATTCAATTGTGAAATAAGAAACGCTTTCAATAATCGGATTCATTGATTCATAAGTAAAGGAAGCAAGGAAAGGATTGTGATCTCTCTCAATTTGATGCTTAGCTTGACGTTTAGCTTGACGCTTGATGCTTGACACTTTAGGTCTTCCAACGTGAGAAGGCCTAAACCCAGTTTTTCTTCTTTTTTTTCTAAGATCCCAAAATCCTCCAAAACTAATAAATCAATCCCGTAAATCTCACCAGAATCACCAATCATTTTTCCATTTTTAAAACAAAAAAATCTAACAAATCAACCTTATATTTTAAAAACCTACTCAAGTCTCTCAAAAACCTAAAATATACAAATTCTCTCAAATCATTTAAAATCTTTAATCCAATACACCCCCCTTAGGCTGTTTATGATATTTTCTAGGTTATTGTAGTATAACTCCCTTCAGTGAATATTTTCCAAGATATTTTCACAATCTTTAAGGGTAATATCGTAAAAATATTATGTAAAATTTTTTCAAAATCTAGATAGGTTATTTAGGCTGTTTATGATATTGTATAGGTTATTGTAGTATATCTCCTTTTCTTTATAATAAACTTTACTCGCTAATAGATTAAAAAAATCTATAAATCAAATTATACACTTATTAATGATGTTAATTAATTTGCTTTTTGTTGTAATGGCGATGTGATGTAAATTTGATCAAATCCAAGATTATTTTCAATATTGTACTTCTCGATTAATGGGGGGTTTTTGTTATTTATTTAACTAAACTTATGAATAGTTTATACAAAATTTGTACAAACAACCCATTAATCGAGACTACTACTTAGCTCCGTGAACATTGAATTGATCGTTGTTTAATTTACATCGTGATGACTCTCATTTTCGGTTTTTTATCCACAAACTTGTCAATTAAAGATAACGTCTTAAAAATTGCAGGTTCTGTGTTTAAGTTATCAGACGTGAAGACTCCTCCGCTATGAATATTTCTTCAACACTTAGAACTACAATTGTGGACCTGAGCTTATTCTTTTTTGTTCTTTACTTTTTTAATTGGTAATACAACAAGAGCTTTGTGGAACTCAGACAAAAAAAGCTCACCATCGTTGTTTGAGTCTGCACGAAGAAATGCCGACCATATATTCATTGACCCATAGGGAGGTGAAAAACTCCTTTTAAACTCTTTCAGCGTCACATAACCATCACGGTCTTCATCCATCTCTGCTATCAGCTGGGAAGTCTGCTCCCCACTGAACAAGTATTGTAGCCCATAAATGGCCTTGGACGTATCTTCTACATCCAGTCTACCATCATGGTCAACATCTCTGTTGACAAACACATCCTCAACCTCGGCCACGATCTCCTGGATAACTTGAAAGAGAGTGAGAAGCCTCATTCTTATGCGGACTTGGGGAACTCCAGCATCATCAGGTCTCATTTTTTTTTGGCGACGCGACTTAGATCGAGAAAAATTCGGCTCTCGAGAAGAATTTAGGGTTTATATTTTTTATATTTACGCTACGACTACTAAGTGGTGGACCTGAAGACATGAGTCTATTTTTTTTTTTTTAATCTGTAATATAAGATATTGGTCCATCATCATCTCGACGGAACTTTTTGTCTTTTCTTGAGAAATATAAATAATTATCTTTATTATTATTATTATTCTTTGCTAAAAAAAATCTTTATTATTATTCAAGCGCCAAATTGCCACAATCGTTTTTCACGCATAATAGTATTTATTAAGGATTGACAAATTATCCGTCTAGATTTCATATAATCCGTTATTCGAATCGTAAAATCCGGATATTCGTCATTTTACAAAGCAAAACATGTACTAAAAATTGATATTGATCAAAAACGAAGCCAATCACAAATACCTACAATTTTAATTTGGGGATATCCGCTCTTCCCCGATATATATAGCTAAGTACATGCATAAATTATAATTTACTATTTTATATATAAATCTATATATATATTTTTGAAGTACAACTATGAAATAAATCCTGGAGTTCCACCTTATTTACGAGTCCATGCCATTGACATTTATTATTTAGTTTTACAAAATTTAAATGAAAGATATTAACCAAACGATATCTTGCCTAATTGTTTCTAAAAATCTCTACACAATCTTTCCATATATCTTCAAAAAAAAATGTTGTGAATTTTTTACTCCACAAAATATGAATAAAACCGATTTATAGCAAATATTTATATTAACATTTTGTATAACATTAAAACTACTAATTTATAATAATCAAAATATTCACATAGAAAAATCATATACTTTATATGATAAATTTAAAATATATATTAGTAGTATAAATTTAAAATCATTCAAGAAATGGTATACCACGGGTGATATCCTAAAATTATTGGATTTTATAGCAATAATAATTTTTTTTTTGGATTTTATAACACTAATACGGTATAATATAGACGGGTTTATATGGGATGACAGATTTGGGTCGATATTAATAACAAACGGTATATCACGGATGAAATCATAAAATTAACAATCAAAATACAATTATACAACCTTAAACACAAAACAAAACATACAATATTAACAAAACAAGTACAACTTAAAATTTAAAATTTTTAGTTATAGATAAATCGATCCACGGTATACCGCGGAGTAAAATATTCAAAATTTTAAAATTCACCATACATCGTTACTTAAAAAAAATGTATGTTTTCGTATCTATACTTCGAAAATTGAAACCTAAACAGTTGCAATCATACAGTAAATAATACGTAGATAGATATCTACATTATAAAATACAAATTAATATGATATCTTTTGAGTTAATTTTTTAAAAAAATATACCTCTGCGGTGTACCGCGGGTTAAATTCTAGTCTTATACATTTCTGATCATCAATTTAATTAGTTAACTACTGACTTTGACAATTAAAAAACAATCTATAAATTTTAATCAAATATTAGTATTTTTGGATTAAATTCTGAATTTTTATTTTAATGCCAAATAGTCCAGACTTTTACGGATTTTGAAGACGCGATGATTAACTTAATGAAAAAGAAATCCTAGATTATATATTCAATACAAATTCCAAGATTTAGACCTTGTTAATATCAGGTCTGCAGTATGGGAAGGAGGCCATTCAACATCATCTAACTATATATATGATACGATCAGGAGATCACTTCCAACCTGATGATCACCGTAGGGCGAGCTGTTTGATAGTGAGAGAGGTGCTTTAGCAACTCGACCGAAAGGAGAGGTTGTGAATACAAACTCGACTAAAAGGAGACGTTTGTACACGAATGCGTCAGTTATACCAAGTACTTAGGAAATTATAGCCCACTTCAAATCTTCGTCATCCTCGGCTCTATTCAGCTTAACCACTAGCCGGTTGAATTCCGGTTTCAGAGACTCAAGCTCATTGATTAAAGCACGCAGCACGCAATCTCTATAGTACAAAAATACCAAATTTGAGGACACTACTAAGTCTGCACAGTAAACAACATTTGAAGGATAAAACAGAAATACCTGATCCTCCTACTCCCAAGTCTTTTTTTGTCGAATCGAATTGTTTGGAGCTACAACACTGATGGAGTTTATTTGGTACCTTCCGGATATAAAGTTGATATTCAAGAACCTGAATCTAATGGCGATATATCCCGAATTTAAATTAGAAGTTTGGAAGTTTTCTGTTGTATCAAAGCTAAAACATGTGGTGTATACTTTCTTAAGCTCTAGGTACAACTACAAGATTATATTCAAGGGGAATAAAGATGGATGAAACATGCCAAAAACGTTGTTCATATCGTGAAAAAAAAATCAATTATGTTGCTACTTGGTACTAAATAAAGATCATCATGGAACTCCAAAGCATTAGGGTACAACGTTTGTAGGATACACTTTATTATCACTAGAAGCTGAAGCAATAACCTTGTTAAATGTAATTCAAAACATTTGGAGCATGGGTATTCAAAAAAAAAAAAAACATATGGAGCATAGGGTAGATAAGTTTTGAGGGTGATTTTCAAACCTTAACAAAGACGCTTCAAAGATTGGACGAGGACATTTCTGCTATAAAGTTGTGCAAGGAAGTCAGATAGTATAGTAATGGGCCTAACTCAACACCCAAAAGCTAGCTCAAGGGAGGAAGTTTGCCTCATACTATATATATTGCCCAAGGATTTTATTTCTTTCCGATGTGGGACTCTAACACACCCCCCTCACGCTCAGGACTGGACATCTGAAGCGTGAAGTTTGTGGGACTGGACATCCACGGATGGTAGCCCACTTTCGAGAAAGTTGAACCTGTCTCTGATACCATATTAGTAATAGGCCTAAATCAACACCCAAAAGCTAGATCAAGGGAGGAGGTTTGCCTCATACTATATATATTGCCCAAGGATTTTATTTCTTTCCGATGTGGGACTCTAACAGATAGTATTATGCATCTAAATTTATTCGCTACATGTATAGTCATCGAAACTTGTAATGAAGTTGCACCTATTTTAGCTAGTATATGTCCTTATAACAATATTTCTATTCCAAGTTGTATTGACTTCCCTCCACCATGGTGTTAACCATGTTTGTACCATGACATTCACAGAAATTAAAAATTCATATTTTCTGTCGAACAAAAAACCATTATCAGAAGAACAAGCAACTAAAATTTAAATGATCATTATATCATGATCTGTAATTTATTTAACCAAACTTTAAATGACATATTACATAACCTTAATTTCCTACAATAATCAGAAAATTTCATAACAAATTTGACGGTAAATGGCTGTGCTGATTATGTCGACACTGCAGTGATCTCGCTCACATAACATGCTGGTCTAGCTAACTTGAAATTAACTTATATCGTTGTTTAGCTGTTAAAATTGAAAAGCTTTAGAATTTATAGGTTTAACTTGTATCGTTGTATAAATAATCTGTTCTACTCTATGAATCAACTTATATATAATCCAGCTAAAAGCTTAAACCAGTCACATAAATCATTATCCAGTTCTTACAAGTGAACAAAATCAAACTGCAAGATTCAAACGGCGTGAAACAATCTCTTTTTATTATTATTTCAGCTACTAATTAAGCATAAACCCATCCACAAAATCACATAAGAACATTATTAAATCACTAGTGAACAGTTAAAACTAATGTACATGACTACATATCAATTATTTAGCCTCTCATCTAGTTATAAACAATTTCATGTTCATTAATTTTTCTATCTTAAAAAGTTTCACCAGACTTTTTTATCTTCATTTTTTTGTTAGAAAAACTATACACCACAAGGTTAATGAATGGAGCTCAAAAGGAAAAAGAAAGAACACGTAGTTTTCATGTTCTAGTAACAAAATACGCAGCGTCTAAACAGCGGCAAAACGACACGTAGTTTACTAACGACAAAACAATGGCACACTAACCCAAGTTCTTCGTCATCTCTTCCTGATTGACTAAATTTAAAAACCCGATCGGAAAATTCGAAATCCGTTCATAGTAATCGGAATCGTCGAAAATGGATCAAACAATATCGGAATATCTCATCCAGGTGAAGAAGGAATCAGGCGGGATCGCCATCATCACAATCAACCGTCCGAAATCTCTCAATTCGCTCACGAGAGCGATGATGGTGGATCTCGCCAAGGCATTTAAGGATATGGACTCCGACGAATCAGTCCAGGTCGTGATATTCACCGGATCGGGTCGATCTTTCTGCTCTGGCGTTGATTTGACTGCGGCGGAGTCTGTTTTCAAGGGAGACGTGAAGGATCCGGAAACCGACCCGGTTGTGCAGATGGAGCGGTTACGAAAACCGATCATCGGAGCTATTAGCGGTTTCGCCATCACCGCTGGGTTCGAGCTAGCCTTGGCCTGTGATATTTTGGTCGCTTCTAGAGGAGCTAAGTTCATGGATACTCACGCCAGGTTGATTTCTTCTCTTACGACGTCGTTTCAATGTTCTCTTTTGGGGATCATGAGAATTGAATCTAGCAATTAGGTCAGATTTAGCTTCGTTCATATAAATCATATTGTTCTGAAGCTTTTTGCCTCAATTCAACATCTAAAATTCTGTTCCTCTTATGCATAAATAGTGTGTTTTCTTGAAATGAATCATTTTTGATGATATGAATGTGAATCCTCTGTTTTTGTTTTTGAAGGTTTGGGATATTTCCTTCATGGGGTTTGTCTCAGAAGCTGTCGAGGATCATCGGAGCAAATAAAGCTCGAGAAGTTTCTTTAACATCGATGCCATTGACAGCTGACGTAGCTGGGAAGTTAGGGTTTGTTAACCATGTGGTTGAAGAAGGAGAAGCTTTGAAGAAAGCTAGAGAAATCGCAGAGGCTATAATCAAGAATGAACAAGGCATGGTTCTTAGGATTAAATCCGTTATCAATGATGGACTAAAGCTTGATCTTGGACATGCTCTCACACTCGAAAAGGTTAAACATTCTGCCATTTTTTAACTTCTTGATCAATTTGTGATTGTGATTGAGAGTCTAAAACTGTTCTTGAATTCGTAGGAGAGAGCTCACGCGTATTACAGTGGGATGACGAAGGAACAGTTTAAGAAGATGCAGGAGTTTATAGCTGGACGTGGATCCAAGAAACCTACTTCAAAGTTGTAGACAGTTCTTTCTATGGATCTTAAATAAAACTTTGTACCATTATCTTAATTGACATTTTATTAGTGTTTTCAATAATATCTTTGTTTGCTTGATAAGTGTAACGCAATTCAAGTAAAGTTGGGTACCTCTATTTAGTTTTGAGATCCGACGTATCTAAGCTTAAGACATATGTATAATTGGAAAATAAATCTTCATTTCCTTATTAGAGCACCATTAACGGTGGGTTCTTAGGCTGAATCTTAGGAAATAGAGATTAAAAATTAAATGATAAATGGGTGTTATAGTTAAGGAACGTTCCTTAACTAAGGAACATTTTTTCACCTAAGAGGCGCACACGTGTCATTTTTGTGTTTCTGTCTCTCTCTTTTACGCTTCGACGACTGCGAAACCAGAGGCGATTTGGTGCAAATCGGAAACAATCGGTGGCCTGGAAGGATAGGAGAAACCACTGAAATATTCTACCCGTGTTCCTCTCTCTTCCTTCTCTCTCTCTCTCTCTTTCGCATCTCTTCGATTGCTTCCACAAACAGACCAGACATTCTCGATCCTGCGCTTGTGAGGCCTGGAAGAATGGGAAATCAGATAATGGATAATGGGAGAAAATGAAGTCTAAGATATGTTAAAACCTAATTGTTTCACTAATTGTAACGTTTTTAGATTAGGAATCGAATTTTGTTGTGATGTTTAGGTTCGTGGAGATGAAAATATAGGGTTAGGGTCGGGTCGGATCAGTGAAGCTTGAAACCCTTAATTTATTGAAATTCGGATTCTCTTCATGTCGAAAATATGGATTAGAAATATGGATTGATCGGCCAATTTTATGGAAAGGAAATCCGATCTAGAGCGAAGTTCATTTTAAAAAAAAATTCATTGAGATAGATATTCATGTTTGAATTCCATTTATGCAATACATGTTTTGTTCAAATGTAGTTTGGGAAGAGAAGAGTGTTGTTCAGAATCATGTACATGGAAGAGAGACCTCATGATATTTTTTTACTATCTTTACGTAAACAAAAAGAACTCGTGGACTAAACAATTTTATTACAGCAAAAGTCTCTTGTCTTCAAATTGTGATTGGAAAAACAATAATTAACTTGTTCTTATGCATTCCTCATCTGATTTGATTAACAAAAGTTTTCTAAAATTAAATTTGCACTCTTCTATATAACTTGTTCTTATTAAGTTTTCTAAAATTAAAATTGTTTATTTTATTTCTTTTTAAATTAATTTTTTTTTTCTCTAAGAACATATATGATTGTATAGAATTAAATGACAACATATATTTTTTTTTTGTATATGTTATGATTGTATAGAAACGTTTTGTATAGTACATTGTCGGATTGTATAGCACTTAAACTTCTTGTATAGTAGCCAAAACCATGACGTGCATACAAAACCAAAACATATATCCAAGACTTGCATACAAAACCAAAACACATAAACCAAATATCCACAAAACCAAAACACATAAACCAAATATCTACAAAACCAAAACAATTTTTGTTCTTAAGGATTTGGTCGAGCATATATGGACAAAATTCTCCGGAAATCAAGTTTAAAACTATTGTGCTTTATGTTATAAATTGTATCTCATGTATGTTTTAATTTTTTTAATTTACAACAATTATTAAATTTTCTATAATTATAAATTTATTTTTATATTAATATTTTTTTTTCTAAGAACCACATGTTAAGAGCCTACCATTAATCACACAAAAATCTTAACTCAAAAATACTGTCTCTTAACACTCACTTTTTACAAAAAAATTACTTAAATATTGCTAAGAAATATTTCTAAGAGACTACCTATAATCATGCTCTTAGATTCTTACAGAAAAAATCTGGTAGAATTTATGAAATTCATTCCCCAAGCCTCGGTTTAGAGCTTATTAGTGAAGTGTGCCCAATAAAAAGGGGTGCAAGTGCAACAAAAGAGATAAAATAAATAAATTGGAAAACTATGTAAATGTAACATTTAAAGGTTTCCTTTGTTTTCAAAACCAAAATACTCATAGTTATAACCTATGTAAACAATATTCTTCAGCATTGGCTTGTTTAAGTCAATCTAACAAAGTTGTTGACCAGAAAAAAAAGAAAAAAAAAGATACTCATAATTGACATACCTAAATAAGTTAATTAAATTTGACCACATACATCCATTTTAAGAAAACGGTATATTCGGATAGAATATTGTGAAAGTCAGTGTAAATGATCGTTGATTTGTAGCAGCAACACATTTATATAACTCATACGACAGTTACAAACAGCATCGTGTTAGCTTAAACCTTCTGTCCTATACAAAAAATGAATATTCCAAAACAATATCTACCAATATTCATACTGATTATCTTCATAACCACAAAACTATCACAAGCCGACCAAAATAACAACAGTCCGGTTCCCAACGATCCATCATCAACCAATTCTCTGTTTCCTGGCGGGAAAATAACCGTAGAAATCATTAACGATCTCGGTAATCAGCTAACGTTACTCTATCATTGTAAATCAAAAGACGATGATCTTGGTAACCGGACTTTGCAATCAGGTGAGTCGTGGTCTTTTAGATTCGGGCGTCAATTCTTTGGAAGGACGTTGTATTTTTGTAATTTTGATTGGCCAAATGAATCGCATTCGTTCGATATATATAAAGACCATCGAGATAGCTCCGGTGATAACTGGTGCGAGAAGTGTGTGTGGAAGATAAGGAAAACCGGACCTTGTCGGTTTAACGATGGAACTAAGCAGTTTGATATTTGTTATCCTTGGAATAAGTCTTTGTATTGACAAGAAAATAAAACAAATAAACTTAGCTCTTGCTGATGTTCTGTCTTCTTATGACTCATGGAGTTTCATTGTTTCAAACATAATAGTATAAAACATATAGAAATTCTGTTATTCCAACTTATAATAAGTTGATAATCATATCATCTTGAGCATTCGATGCTACAAAGATAATACCCCCAAGCTGAAACAGAGAGACAATACTAACAATAACAGTTCATAGTGTGTTTATGCAACCATACATACATATACATATACACAAGGACAAGTAGCGTCCTAATAATTCTACTTGGGTGAGGTATGAACAGCAGCAACAGTAGATACCATAGTGTCCATACCACACATATTATGAGGTCCTCTGCAGATTTTGTAGTAACCATGCTCTCCCCACATCGCTCCCCACGAGTTCTTGATAATCCAATAAGGCTTCTCCTTAAGACGGATTGGTGCATAACCCGATGAACCAAATCCAACCAAGAGCACTCCATGGTCTTGGCTCTTTGAACATACATATGGACACGAGACTCCTCCTATGTATGTTTGCATCCACATCGCATTGATAGCAACTGTTTGAACAACAAAGAGACCATGTGTTATTAAATCTCCAATTCTTAAATTAGTAGTAACAAGGTAAAAAGAGTTTTTCAAACTTACTAGCTAGAGGTCCGTGCTTGACTAGATTAGCAGCGATTTGGTCTTCATCTGAAGAGACAACGCTGAAATTAGAAACGCTCGCAGCAATCTTGCTCTTGTCGAATTTGCAAGCGGTATTGTCACGTCCTGTATAAGGATAGTCTTCTTCCTTCATAAGACCACCAGCTTTGAGAGCGTACTCAAAAGCATTGTTCATTAGTCCTCCACTGCAACCAGAGTCACATGAATTGGCTTGTGCTGGATCACACTGCAAAAAGAGCAAGAAACATATATAAATTAACAACCACTTCACCAAAACACATCAAATGGGAAAAAACAATCTATAAAGGAAACAAACCTCATGGTCACAATCTACAAGCTGCTGCTCACTGAGGCTAACAAGCTCTTTAGTCGCTAGAAAATGTGCTCCTTCAAGAGCTCCAATAGCACTAAAAGACCAGCATGAACCACACATACCCTATTCACAATCCAAAAACACATATTCACTTCCACTCTCTACGATCCATGAACGATTACAAAGCTGAACCATTCGAATTTGAAACCTCAACAAACCTGGTTTTTAACAGGTGTGACGGCTCCTTGCTCACGCCAATCGAACTCCGTCGGAAGATCGCTAGTCGGAAGAATCGGCGCCGTCTGAGTATCAGTAGGAAGACGAAACCCTCGGCGTTTCAGCCCTAAAAACTTGCGGCGGAATTCTTTCGGAGTAAGATCTGAGAATTGCGTGACGCCGTGGACAGCAGATGGATCTAGAAGCTGGTTCCGCCTAGCTCGCCTTAAGTTAGCTTTGAAGACACGGAACCGATGATCGTGCTCTTCCTGAGTCGCGTAAGTCTTCTCGTACTTGGATTTGAATAGAGAGAAGTGATGTTCTGCGTTGAGGAGATGTTCATCGTTCTCCTCCGGGACGACTTGCCTGATCGGGTTAACGAAACCGTAGTTTACCTCGCCTGAGATGACGGCGGATCCGAGAGAAACTGCTAGTAACGTGGCTGCGATGAGGAAGAAGAAGACCACACGATCCATTCTTCTTGGGTTTCCGAGAGATAAGGAAGAAGAGACTTTGGGGACAAGAAGAGGAAACAGTTTACGAGCTTGTTTAAAGGAGTGTGAGTAAACACGTGGCGTGAGGTAACTGGGTGCTTAGTTTGGATATTTCTTGGGGAAAACGACGACATGAGAAGTGACACGTTGCTTGTTGCTTCCAATATCGTCGTAAGCTGTGACGATATTTTTTCTCTATTGTTTTCAGCTAAAATCTTTGGGTAAACTTGTAATTTACCATTGTTTTTTTATGTGACATTCTTCCAATTTGAACATTATTGCAAATTTACAACATTGTAAAAAAAAACTTTTGATTTCTCCAAGAGATATGATTTTTTTTTAGCAAAATAGAGAATTGATAAATTTTTTAGCAATCGAGCTCAAGCGTATTATGCAACTTATAGCTAGCAAAAGGGAGAAAAGAGGGGAACCTTTAGCAAAAGAGCTCGAGGATCTTGTTGCTGAGGGGGTTTGACCATCACATCTCTTTGAGTCATTTTGGGAAAACTAATATTTGAGTCAATAGTACATGAAGAGTATCTTAACCATTATCTATTTACATTCTTTACAACACTAGTACCAATCACATCAATTATGTGATATTGTACTTTCTATTCAATCCAAATTCAGATAATCACACCATCTTAACTTATCTAAAAATCACATCCTACCAATCAACTTGTGTCTGAACCAAGACAGATTTGCCAGAGCTAGCACTGAAGGAGTTTCTCCATCATTCTCTCAACATCATTTACTCAATATTTGACTCCACAGAGTATACCTTTTTCTCTTTATATGAGAGAATACTACAGCATCATTGGAAACACATTTCTTTCAGCTAATTGCAAGTTATTGTGGTCACACAATGCAAGACAAGATGACATATACCAGTCCACTAAACAGGACAGCTAGCGTTTCAGATACTCATTGAGAGCAAATACTACAACAACCATCTGAGCATGTATCCGTTTCCCATTTGTATATTATTTCCTCTGTTTGCATTCCTGCTAAGTCTCAGGCTCGACTTGCGACCCGCCGATACGCCATAATGGCCCAACAGCTTCCTTTCAAACTCTCCCCTATAATAATGTACTTATTCTGCTTCACTTTCTTTCTCTGATTCTCCACCTGAAATCCTGTGATTATAGCCATCACATATAGGCAAAGCAGGTCACAATGTCACATACATAGGCATTGAGGGTAAAATGAAAAAAAGAAAAAGAATTGAGGTTAAATTAGTAATTAGCCTCAATCTTCCCATTTCTCCTTCCTCGACTTGTAGCGACTCTCTCCAGTCCAGTCCAAAATCGGGAGGTGAGCAAAATCTCCGGTTGTCTCTTTCAGTCATGGAGTTGAGATCGGATTCACGATCGACTTCGTTTTCTTCTCTCCTATTCGTCGTCTTTCTCTCGGTTCTAAGCGGACTCGTTTCCCGTACCGAGTCGGCTCAGCAACCTTTCCGCCGCGAGCCAGGTCATCCTCACTGGCATCACAGCGCTTTCCTTGACGTACGAGAGAGTGTTCGATCCGATGTTCGCCGTATGCTTCACTCCCGTGCCGAGGTAAAAATCTCCATCATCATCAGTTAGTCTGGATTAGCTAGAAGAAGAAGAAATCGTTGAGTAATTTGGTTTTATAGAATCACCGAAGTGCAATTAAAAGCGTTCTTGTTGCTTCATGATTATGATCATAGCTTTGTTCGTGCATATGGTTGTTAGATTGGCTAATTTTGGGTAACACATTGAGAATTGTATTTCACTGAAACTTGTTTTGTTTATGTTCCTCTACTATTATTTTGGCAGGTACCATTTCAGGTTCCTTTGGAAGTGAATATAGTGCTTGTAGGTCTGAATGGAGATGGAGGTTACAGGTATTCCGTGGATCCTCAAAAATTAGGGGAGTTCTTAAGAGCTAGTTTCTCAACACATAGGCCTTCATGCCAAGAGACAGGGGAGCCACTTGATATCGAGCATCGAGTTGTTTATAATATCTTTCCTGTGAGTAATTATTAATCTTAAACCAGTCTTCACGAATTTTGTCTTGTTTATGCTTCAACATCCAATATTATATATGTTGGATAATATTTCTATGCAAGTTCTGGATTCTTGTATTTGCTTTTGCTGATTTGCATTTTGCGTCTCCAGCAGATTATTACTGTAAATGCAGTTGTTTGCACTCAATGTTAAGTTTTACTGTATCCTGATGCCAAGAATTTCGTTGTATTCCCCATTTACGTAAATGTTCATCTTTATTTTTTTTGTCTAGAGTGGGCAACCTGAATTAATAGCTCTGGAGAAGGCAGTGAAAGAAGCCATGGTGCCTGCTGGAACTGCACTAGAGGTTGCTGTGATCTAATCATCTCAAATTTAACTCTTTCTCATAATCATTCTAATTACATATAAAAATATGTTTATGAATGTAAATTTCATTGCTATAAATTCTACATGTTAGTGTATATCATGCTAAGCTGCAAAATTATTTTTGCATTTAGACTGATTTTGGAAGACACTTACCTGCCTTTGACGTAGAGGCAACAAAAGTTGAGTCCGCATTTAACCAGCTTTACTCGTATATATTTGATATTGATGTGGGAGCTGGATCAGCAGCCACGGCGGATAAACCTATACCAAGTGCCATATTTGTTGTGAATTTTGATAAGGTATTGCTTCCAGTGCTCTTCTTACTTCTTGTATCTTGCATATGGTATGCAGATTGTCCAAATGCTCTACATGTACTTGTATTTTTTTTTTGCCTTCTTGGGTTTATAACCCTCATATTTCTCTTTGTTCTTGCAGTTGCTTTTTTTCCTTTCATGTTTGCATTTGTTCGGTAATTGATTCTGTCCTGCTGGGTTCTATAAATGCCCCTTTCTTTTCTTAACTCAATATTCAGGTAAGAATGGATCCTCGAAATACAGAGATTGATCTAGACAGCTTGATGTTTGCAAAGCTACCAGAGCTTAGTGATGTAGACAAGGAGAAACAAGAGGCAGACTACATTTATCGATATAGATACAATGGTGGAGGAGCATCCCAAGTTTGGCTTGGATCAGGCAGGTAAACTCATCTTTGTTTTCTTTTCTTGTTGCGGTAAAATGTGGACAAAATTACTCAGTGGGTTTTCCCTTGGTATCTCTTTGTTATCCCTATGAGTGAAATGATTGTGCCATAGATGTGATCAAACAATTACCACCCTATTCTGAAAGTATTACATCTATCTAGGTATCATCAATATATGCCATTAAAATGGATGTGAGATATCATTGTCCCTTTGTTGATTATATATAGGCCAGAAAAAAAGAAAAACAAAAAGCTTTAGAGGAATAAAAAGGAG